TTTTTACGTTTAGGTCCAAAAACACTAAAGGACAAATTGTTTTGCTCCTTCAATGAAGTTTTTGCATTGTTTAATTATGGGTTCTAATTGTAATTATATGAAGTAGTGGACTTTTGTGTTTTTACAAAGTGACCCCAAAAGTTTATGTTTTTGCAATATAGCCCAAAGGTTGTGGTAATTGCATATTGGCCCAAATTAGGTTGAGAACAAAATTGTTTTGTCTCTTTAAATCAGAATCGGATTTTCATTTCATTTAGCTCCATTTAAATCAATTTTATGGATACAAAAACCAAATGAAAATGTTGCATTCAATTTAATTAGTTAAAGCGTTAATTAATTAAAGGGTGATTATGAACCTAAGCCTAATATAATTGAGCTATGTGAAAGGCCGTTTCAAATTTGTTTGAACCATGGGAATGTGTAGATTAGATTTTGGTTGTAATTTGATTTGATCAAATGTTGTAAAAGAGCATAAGCTCTTCTTTACTTTAAAGTAATTTATTTTGATCAATTGTTGTAAAAGAGCATAAGCTCTTCTTTACTTTAAAGTACTCATTTTCTTGTTTTATTTGATATGCATGAAATTGGAGTAGTTGGGTCCAACACCCCTAGGAACAACACGCCTTAATATGATTAAACGCGTAACTAAAATCAATCACCATCCCTAGACCGAGATTCAACACAAGGCTCGTGTTGGATCTAATTAAAAGGTTCATAGTCATCCTAAGGCCCTAAGGCAACTATATAGTCCATCAAATGAATGCAAAGTTTATGTTAGTAGTATCATATACTCTTGCTTTAAAAACTGTTTTATAAGCATAGTGGGAGTATTATATACAACTAAAACAATCAAATGGACCAATAGTTGTAATAGGACCAAAATTGTTTTAATAAGATTAAAATATATGTTTATATATGATGAGACCTAAAACCCTCAACCAAACCATTATTAAGTTGACAAGCGTGAGAGTGCTTTGAACACTCTTTCGTGGCCTTCCACCGTGGTAGGCTCCAATCGTTTATGACTTGTACACCGCCTTCACCCTATCATGGGGGAGTGCAAAGTGCATGCTTATACTCAGGAGGAGTCTATATGCATACTTGATGTTGTGAAAGGTAGGCAACGAGAATGATTAATATCATATCATTGTGAGGTTGTTCTTGAACCCCTACCTGAACTTGCATGGTGGGAATGACTTAACTAAGTGAAATGGAGCCAATATCATATCATTGTGAGGTTACATTCTCTAGAGGCCAAATAAGATGGGTACTTGCAAGAGATGCAAATGAGTAAGCGTACTCTCTCATTATTATTAATGCTAGCCAATATCATATCATTGTGAGGTGGGCTTGGTAGTAGTGAGTCTCCCATACCCTACCAAGAGTTTCTTCCAAAACTCTCGAATTCCAATGAGGGATATGGAATTTGCCAAAAATAGTGGGTGGTGCTATTTGATTTAAAGACCCGAATCAAATGGCTTAAAATCAATAAATTTATATTCGTTATGTATTTGTTTACCAATATATTTGCAAACGCTATCCAAAACTTGACAAAGAAAAGTCGAATGCTTTAGTTTCCGGACTTGGTACCACAATCCCAAAGATTGTCTTAAAAGGATTGCATATGTACCTAAGTAGTCTTATCCTCACAATCTTCCTATTGATAATGTATCATTGAAAGAACATGTTAGATAAGTCTATCATAAAGAGGACAACACTTTTAATGTCATAATTCTTCAATTAGAAATTGTTGTATGAAGAAATAAGAGTTGCTTTGAACAACCCTTAGTCAATGCAAACACTAGTGCTTGTTTCTTTGTTAAATGAACAAAGAACTTGAGAAGAAAGCACAATGGCATGGACACTTTATGTGCCATGATTCTTCACTTACAAATTGTTGTATGAAGAAATGAGAGTTGCCTTGAACAACTCTTGAAAGTTTGTAAATATGTTTAGAACATAATGGTTGGTTGACAAAAATAGTCCATCAACATGGACTTATGATGATTTTGAATCATTGAATGTTGAAATGTTAAACCACTTCTAGAGACGGAAAAATAGGCTAGGACTTCACCTTTGTGTCCCTATCCAAATGGTTCACTAAGTTTATTGTAAACTATATAGTGAACAATAACCACACGCTCTCCAAATCGTTTGATGTGTATAACACAATTGAAATAAGTTTCAAGAGAGATAGTGGGAGTTTAGGGACCATGACTATATAGTCAAAGGAGAAGTCAAATGAAGAAGATAAAATTAACTCCAAGGGAACAAACTTTCTTTATGAAAGGATGGACATTGGAAGGGGTATTTGCAAGAATTGTCTTGCAAGTGTCAAGAACACACCTTTCGAAGGTGTTGTAAATTGTTCTTGAATAATTCAAAATGGTTGGTTCTTCTACTTGAATGCTTGATTCTGTATTAGTAACTATGTTTTACAATCGTTGTAAAAGTGTGACTAATAAGAAGTAGAAGAAATATGAGAGAAGAAAAGGTGCTTCACATTTAGAGCGTGAATAAAATAAAGATCTCTGCGAAACTTCCTCATATGAACTACCAAAGAAATTGGAAAAATCAAAGATTGTCTTTACATTCCAATTTTAACTAACTTAATTCCGTCACTATAGTAGAGATGGATGAATGTTTTGTTTGACAAAACATTGTTCTTTATTAATCAATGATTGGATTATAGTAATCTAATTGATTGTCTCTATAGTAGAGATGATATGGTAGTGTTAACTGTTTAGAATATAATGATGCTTAAAACCCAAAAGGTTGCAAGATAGTGACTAATCCCAACTGAGTTGTGATACCTCTAAAACATAAATTACGAGTTGGTCATAGATGGATGCTTGAGATCGTTAGATCCGGATCCAATACCTTCTTGTTAAAATTGTATAGAGGCGAAATGTTCGAATCTTTATTCTTTTGGAAAGAAGAGAATCACAAAGTTGTTGAGGTTAATTCACTTAGATGTTAGTGGCACTTGTCCACAAACATAATACTACTCATGTTATATGACATTCACCGAAGATCACTCTCGGTTGGACTATAGTTTATTTTGAATAAACACAAGTCCGAATACTTTGCAAAATGTTTCAAAGAATTCAAGAAATGTAAGTTGATGAGTAAGACGTCTAAAGTATTTGCCTCCTTAGATTTGATCCAAGGAAAGATAACACTTTAGACCAGTTTCCTTGAAAAATATCAAGGAAAGAAGCATCAAAAGATAATGGATTTCTCCATTAGGAGAAGAACGAACTTGAATAAGATTTAGTTCGTTGGATGTTATCAATTACCCATATATATAGGATATATACTTCTAAGACAATATGATTGTCAATTAGAAGATCTTCCAAAATTTTCATGACTCCATAGGATGTAGTTGGAAAGAAAGACAAAATCTTAAATCTGCGAAGCACCTACCCTCCTCCAAAGGGTTGAGGACCATTACACCCAAAAACCCCCCACATGTCCCTTCTCCATCAATTTTATTAATAATAAATGAAAGTAAACGAAAATGATACATGCAAGGAGACCATGCCAAGACCCGCAAAGACAAAAAGATCAACGAAAATTGTAATTAGGACACAACAAAAGGTCATGACTCACGAGTACGAGCAAAGGCTACAAAATCTGGAATCGTAGACCAATAGTAATAAGCATAACTATCTGCCCCAAAAAAAGCTAATACATTTGCAACATGATTTTCTTATCTGTAAATATGTGGTATACTTAAATTGCATTTGACAAAATCATCAGAGACAATTCTTCCAATCCACCATAAAAATCACATGACCGCATTAAAAGCCTTAAGATGATAGTGAATAACCAACATGGAGTCTGTTTCAATCCACAAGCTATACGTACGGCCTCATTGAAAGCAAGAATTTCTGCAACAACTAAATTTAAAATTTTTGTGTTTTGATGCAAAAGCTCCAAGTCCCCCCCCACCCCACCACCCCCCAACCCCCTCTTCCGAGGAGCGAAAAAATCCCTGCAAACCCAACATATTCCTTGGCACAAGACTTATCAATTTAACCTTGAGCCACCCGACTATTGGCAACCTCCTGATGACCGGAACAAAGGATGGAGCCATGGTAGAAAGCAGCGAGATACCCAATATTGAAGAAATAGGTACCAAAGAGGAGGAGCTATCACTCGAAAAACACACTAGAGCTGAGTCACGAAACTAGGCGGCTAACCACACTTAGATAAGCCAGGGAAGTAGACTTGCCCTTAAACCAAATTTGATTGCGAGGACAGCAAATGCCCCATATAAAACTACAAGCCACTATAATCCGCAGTTTTCAAGTAGAACCATAAAAAGTTGTAAGAAAAGTTTCAAAACAAACCTGTAACACTGATTGAACCACTAAAGAGTGACGTAGAAAAAGCTCCAACAACCAAGACCAAAGACCCACACTCAGTCCAAAAAAAATCCAATAAAAAAAAATTCAAATGTTAAAAAGTTGCCCGCACTTAATAATATATTTGGCTTCGTCCCTGCTCTTAACTAAAGCTTTTTTGCTTCTTGCAAATATCTTTCTGGAGTTGGCAACGTTCTATTGCCGAGGAGTAACAAAGTATATATTTAAAAGATAAAGATAGGATTCTCGTTCTCCTAGGTACCGTATGGTACGTTGATTTTACATACTGTGAAACCAAAAATTGAGAGAAGGGAATTAGGATTTTCGATTTAGAGAAATTGAAATGCTAAACCCCTTGCCGCACCTACCTGGAGAGGGACCAAGCAATTCATCATCTTCCTACTTCACCAACTTAAGAGTTCATTCGTGTGGATACTAGTAGAGGGCTAACACTCAGGAGCTTCAACAACGAATTGATCCCCATTTGAAATCCAAGGGTTGGAAATCTTAACATAATTTAAGTTTGTGCATGTGTTCTTAAAATTGTTTTGTACGAAAGTAACACCGTTGACGTGTGATAATATGTTAGCAATTGCAATGACAAAGAATCCATTCTTTCATCACAAGATATCTAGAGGAAAAACCACTTTATTAGAGATGCATTGTACAAAGATGTGGTTCAACTCCTCTACTGCCAAAGGAGAGCCACATACAAGTATTTCACCTGCTGCCTGCTTCTCAATAATGAATGCAACAACATTGTGAACCATTCCTCCACTTTCCGGGAAAATTATCCCCAGAAACGTCTCATAAAAATTGATAAATGGCCGTTTTCTAAAAAAATAAGTCCAAGTAAATGGAGTAGCATACGTGCCTGGGGACATGACTTCTAATGTCATCCAACAACTCGCACAATGCCCATCATTTCCATATCTGCAGGAAAAAGCGTCTATCCCACCTGAGAAAGATCAACTGGGACCTACGTAACAATCATAATCAACTTCTTTCCATGCTGCATTGGGCTCTTCTACTCCTAACATTGTCCCATAATTACTCTGGTGATTGACCGATAAACTCCTGCGTTCCAAATCCTTGAAAATTATTTCCAGTTGGTCTTTCATGCATCTTCAAAGTCCATGTTACATGCTTCCAATTGAACACCAAATCTTCAACATCATGATTACATGCTTCCAATTAAAGATCAAAGCAGCATATTAGCTTCACAAGACAGGGATCACTTTACAGACCTCAGCGTTGAACCCACAGTCCATGAAAAGCAGCAGCCATGCTCGCTGCTGTTCAGAGAGTCTATCCCTGGGGCCTTTAACTTCGACAAGCTTGGCTTCACCTTTGTATTTCCCATGGAAGCGCCACAGCAGTAAATCTGGCATTCCGCTTGACCAGCTGCGATAATCTTGTGCTAGATGTCGACAGAATGAGGCCAAACAAGGGCCACCAATGCACGTAACAGCTGCTCGAAGCTCGGACAGGGAATGACGGTCCCAATTAACTCCTCTGCATGATGTTCCTTCGTGTAACTCCCATGAAGTGATGAGGATCTCCTCAGCCATGCCATCATGAATTTTCTGTAAGTGAGATTCCATATGGCTCTTTCTCACCAGATAAAAGCTATCAGTTTGCAAATCCAAGGGAGCAATCTGCAAAATAGAATTTTCAATTTTTTACTAAAGGTCATGTATTAACAAAAAGACCCGCGCAGGTTAAACTTTGGACACGAAAAGCATGGGTAAGCAATCTTTGTACGTAATTTATTACTTTGAATTGCTTGTATAATGAGGGTAAAACCGTAAAAGGAACTATATACATGTGTTGTATTGATTAAGAACTAAGGCACTAAATTTTATCATACTTTGCCTCTTTTGTTCACCTATACTCTCTATTTTTGTCAGATCTACCCCTCTTCTGACCTTTCTCAATTTTCTTTTAACTTCGTTCTGTTCACTCACATAAACTTTGTGATAACCTTATAACTGCATAAGGGCAATACATATATGCATGAAGGCACATTGTGTAAATCAAGTGTTCAAATACATATACATGCATACATATATGCATGAAGGCACATTGAGTAGAAAACTTCAAAAATCCAGGAGCTTGGTAGCACACTTATACTGTCAAACATACCTGAAATCTGGTGCGGAAAACATTTGGTATATCAGAAAATATAATATCCCACATAAGAAGCCCAAAAATAGTCAACCAAATGCCACTTTCTGAATGAACACCCTGCCACCCTTCCCCAGCATAATGCTGCAATGCTAGCTGCTCTACCCCACATTGCTCTCCATCTTCTCCATAAAACCTGCTCTTCATACCAATCACCGAATTTAGAGGTCTCCCTTGTACATGAACCTAACTTGTTGGTAAGAAAAACCGAGTCAGAAGAAAAAGTGATACTCTAAAATGTAAATATAATAACTTTTTTGATTTTAGAGTTTTTACAAGCATATAACACAATTAAGCGATTACCTCGACAATCTTCCTCTTGACAGACTCTGCAAAACTAGGTGTTTTCCATCGCCTTGGTGGTTTTCCTAAGCGAAGGACTCTCCTTTGAAGTGCCACTCTTGAACCAGCACGTACCCATTGATCTAGTAACCCATTTTCGGCAACTGAAAGGCTCTCATTCAGATAGCCCATTTGCTCTAAGTCAATTGATAACCTTAGTGTCCAGTATCCTCTTCTACCATCACAAGTGAAGCACTTTAGCAGCCGCTTCAGTAAATATATTGCATCACTATACCTGAGTGGAATAAATACATTCTCTCAGCATGCAAAACATCAGACTTTTCGTTTCCCATGAGTTCTCCATGCATATTCATGGAGCTAGTGATGCAAAAAACGTAGCAGTTACAAGTATAGATACTAAAACTCAGATAACTTACAAAGATAATTAACACAACTTAGGGTTTAGGCTCATCGGTTTCTCTTTTATAGCAATTCATGAAGAACTGGGATATGATATTTGGATTGTATGCCAGTTACATAATAGAAAAATGGACCCAGCTGTCATTTGCACTCCACAATCAATATTTCATTATTTTTAACGCAACGACAGGAGTGCAGAATGACAAATTTGGAGTAAAATATAATTTCCATAGAAATATATTCTATCATATAAATATTGTTAAAAAACAAAAGCAGCACAAGTGTTTTAGAAACAATAGTGATAAAAATAGAGTTAGTTTCCAAGAATCTGCAAAAGAAAAGGATTATAATGAAGAGGTCCAGTTTTGTCCATCAACAGTTTGCAGTGTTTCATAACAATTAAAAATTTATGTACTAGTCCATATAATACATACACAGTTGTTAACCAAATATAAAAACATTCTTTAAACATGTCAAAGTAAGCTATGGTATTGAAATAGTTTATGAGGTCAATGAACGATGCTAACTTTAAACAAAAAGTAAAATAAAAAATAAAAGTTAGACACAGAAGTGGATATGTGTTCTAAACAATGGCCGTAAAAAAATGTAAAGTAATTCCAAGATCCATACC